TCTCCTAAATTGAAATTTTTAGTATATATTTTAAATATTATAAATGTACGATTCACGACGTCTCTCCTTGTTTTAAGATTACAGAATTAGTTCGTTTCTTTCATAACTCTTACGTCGATCAAGGTGAACATTTTCTTCGGAAACGATACTTTTTAGTTTTGTCGATCGTGTTCGTCGCGGGGTAGGAAAAATGTTTAATTCATAGTAATGCAAGGGAAGGGCGCCAGAATCTAATAACAACATTTTTACATTAGTTACAAGATGTCACATATTTCCATCTCGTCTCACGCGAGACAAGCATATTGCACTTGACATATTTCACATTTCTAGTTGACGTAGAAGATGAAATGAAAGTCTACGGAATAATTGTAACTATATAAGGTATTTGGGAGTATCATAAAAATATCTAGACTTTTCCTTTCCTTTCTTTTTAAGAAAATACGGAAGACGTTCTGTCTTGAATTTAAGAAAGTATTAAAAAAGTATAACAGTACAGTAGAATAACAGTCGATAGTGTTTTTCATAGTTTTAAACGATACCTCGTTAATCTCATATTGCTATGGCGAATTCAGGTATAAGTACATCGTCCGCCCTCTTCGAACGAACAAATCAAAGGGAGTAACGACTAAATTAATATACGAACAAGATGCAACAAGGAACTGTTAGAAATATCAGTATAAAAAGATTCAGTGCTCTTCCCTAATCGCTAGAAAAATTCTACGTTACAAGTCCTAGATCGTAATCGGTACTGTTACAATAAATGTCACTTGCATACCGAACAGGCATTCACTCTCTCACTTTAGGTAGCGATCATCATCCATGTCGGTCAAATGTATCTGTATGTTTTAAGCGCACTGATATATCCATCAGTCATCCGGCATTGCACTCATCCCATATTTATCAAATATGTCTCTCTTCTTTCGTATCAACAATTATTTATTTATAACAGTGTGTGTGGTCTTGATATGCTTTCCTCTCTACTGTCTATTAGAAATAAAAGACATTCACATGCACGTCCTTTCGTATATGTATATCACTTGTGTATATCCACGCGCGCAAACCGGCTCCTCGTTCCTCTCAACGCACTTGTGCATCATCGGTGAAGGCATACCATGAAAAATGGCAGTAAATAGATATATACGTACTGCTAGTAACAGCAAATAAATCCTATGAAACTAAAAAGCTGAATTCTTTTTAATCTTTCAGTTTCAATTTTTTATCTCCTTCACAGTCACTGTGTATCGAGCCAGCGTTCACTATTTCGATGAGATGTGACAGCTCTTACACGTACGGTATCGACTTGTCTTTATACGTGCGACGGAAGTCTCTCGACTATGAGCCGTTCATTGTACCGTTAAACAGATCAACAAGTATTACATGTGGATGTTGCTCCTCGTATTAGCTGGCCTGCCATTTGAATTTGCTACGCATAATCCATTTCTGGCCGATGTTGTGGGGGTCGCACTTCGCCAGCACCGGTTGCATAGCGTCGTTCGAACGAGGCTTCGACAAGCAGTGCCCTGTGTTCGTATGCTTGATCATCTTCGTCTGAAAAATAGTTTTACTTATAAAATATAATGTTCCCGATCACATTTTTTGGGAATTGCGGAATTTTCAGAAGCTCCCCCATCCGGACCAGATGATCAGGTTCTCGCACGCCTCTAATAGTTATTTAATTTCACCGTACCTCTTCGTTGTAAACCCACGCTTGATTTCCACCCATACCGTGACATCTTACTATTTTGACAGGACCTTGGGGACTAGCTGCATCAAGGCACATATCATCGGACATTATTTGCTGTCGTTTAGTGTAAGCAAACACCTGTTAGGCAGAGAAAACATCGATTTCAAAATCTGTTTATGTGTAATCGAGAATGGTTTCGTTAAAAAGTAAGCACCTGATTTCCACCCAATCCGTGGCAGTAACTAATTCCAACGTTCTCGTTCGTCCTTCTGCCCATAGTATCCAAACAAGTCTGCGTCTCAACGTTCTGCACGTCGCCCAAATAATAATAATCTAACGGCATCGGAGATTCCGGATAGATGTTCTCCAGGTACCATCTAAAGCTTTTACATTTGAGACGTTCCCTCAATTTGATTCTTTCGGAAACGTCCCCGACGGTTACGCTCCGAGCTCCTATAAACGAGAGGATCAGTTAAACATTTATCGTTACATCGTTTGCAATTGATGCGGTGGTGTGCTTGCACGTATGAGCATTCGCTGAAAGAAGGGTGCACGTGTATAAAGTATGTGCCAAAATAAAGACGTTGCCATGTACGGTGTACCGATGCTCGCAATGCTTGCGCTTCGAATGTGCTATTATTGTATACAGCTACTCTCCTCGAGTTCTCGAGTCAGAAAAGGAAAGTTTATATCCTGCTCGGAACAGGGTGCGAAGAAACTTTAAATTGAACCAAGTAACTTTTACTCGGTGTTTCCATTTTATACTGCAACCCTCTTTCCCGACGACTATTAATGAATATAACGTATCCTTTGTATGAAAACTGGACGAAAAGAAAAGGAACTTTTCCATTAGCTTCCTGGTAATATTAACGGGTATCTGATATACATATGCGTACGTGCTTTACTTCAAGCTAACAGTCAGATGCAATTTAATTAGAAGCCACTGATCACCCGAAGAAAAAACACATGCGAGATGAACGAAAAATAATAGTGAGAAAGCTGGGCCCGGTGATGGGCAACGGATGAAACGTTCTTTTGCGTTAAATTCGACCGGACAGAGAGAAGGACAGACCCAGGCTCGTGTTGACCATCACCGATGCGGATTTGAAAGAAATCAGCGTAGACAGAATTGCGGGGGTTTCTAAGGTCTAAGTTCTCTTCCCAGCGATTCTGGGTGTTAGTGCTACCTGGATTAATGTTGTAATAGAAGTACTTCCATTGGTCCAACCAGACCTCAGCGAGTCGCGCATTGTTGTGGTTCACGATCTTGCTGGTACCACCGGGGAATGTATACGGTGTTGACTTACGGAATACATGACCAACGTGCGAGCACGTTGCGATCTCCAACGTCCCACCACACATCCATATCTAACCAACTCAGTTTTGTTAGTATGTTAGCAATTACAGAAAAAAACAACAATAATAATAATTGACAGTTGAACGAAAAAAACAAACAGAACAGAAGGATCTAATATTCGGGACGGACTCGCTTGTTCTCCACTCTGGTACCTATAATGTGTACATCGTTTATGAGAATGTCAGTCAATAAGGAAGTAAGCAAACTCGTTTTGTTAGTCGGCTGGATGGATGAGTGGTTAAGACTTTATTGAAATGCAAAGAAACAATTATTCCTGCAAATCAAATTTCGTATAGTCAACGAAAGGATACCAGAAATTTGCTTGGCGCACGCAGAAATCATACTCGCACACATCATGAAGATACACGGTGATACTTTAAACATACATGTTAATAAAATTCTATGCAAGAACAAATATAATGTTGTTAATGGCACGCTGGCAAACACGCTTAGGAATAATTTTACAGATAACAATTGGCTACGTTACGTGTTAATATCTTTCAACATCTAAAGCATTAGGAGCTGTAGAAATAGTTACGAAACTTTTCTCTGAATTAGATACTCCTCGGAATTTTCTTCACATCGTTTGTATCAGATACCCGTCAAGTACGCGTAGATGCTAACGAATTTACTTTGAGATTCATTTACACGCTCTAACGTGTTCCACACTGAAGTTCGCTAAACGCTATACGAGAATTAACAAATCTCGAACTTTGCTTTACCTTCTCCGGGTTATCTCGTCGAATATCCGTTCTCTCATTTAAGAGAGTCAATAACAAATCTCTTCTACAAAAGTGAACGCTCGTCGATCATAGAGATACTCAACGTTATCAACGTCGCAGTTACATTAAAACGAAAATGTATTTAGAGAAATGAAAAACACGCTTTGTCTAACCTGGGTTCATGGCATAGTAAAAATCTCTCCACTCATCCATCCAGACTTCAGCCACCCTAGCCGCATTGTGTAGGACTATTTTGCTGACACCACCAGGGAATGTATACGGACTCTTGTCCCGGAACACATGCCCAACGTGTGAGCACGGAATGATTTCTAACGTTCCACCGCATTGCCATACCTACAACGTACTTATGACTTCACAAATGAAAGTTAAAGCTTCTGCGTTTAAAGCATCAAAAAGAGACAATGACATGAATAAGGATCTAGAGAATCCAATTGGCTACAAAAGGAAATAAAAACGTGGACAAGAATTTCCTTCTTCTGGGATCACCTGCGAATCTGCGGTAAAAAAATGCCGTATTTGCTTGGCCGTTTAATGATTCTATTTCCGTCAAACAATTCGAACGGATAAGACAAATATATTGCGGCCGATCAATACTCACCCGGAAGCTCATTTCGAGGTTTTCACCGCCCCAAATATCCATGCCCTCGTCGTATGCTCCCAATTCGTAAAAATATTCTTTATCGATAGAAAATAAACCGCCAGCCATCGTCGGCGTCCTCAGGGGTGCCGTTCGGTCTCCCAATCTCCTATCCATTTCTCTCTGAGCTACTCTGTACCTTCAGAATTGAAAAATATTTCGACAATCAGAATAAGTAACAAATCTGATAAAGGTACGCAATAAAGAATTAAAGTATCATCAATTAAAAAATATCTACAAAAATACATATGCACTGGATTTGCAATAAAATCTTATTAAACATATTGTCGTATCTTATCAGTCTGATAAGATATCGATTCTTACCATCTGAAGTTCAGTTTCCAATTGAAACCTCCCCACGTCATGTCACTGGCTGGAATATATTCGAAGGTATCGTCGCTGATCACATCGATAATAGGGCAGACGACGGTGGTCCTGTCCTCGACGATTCTGGCCAACAGTGGCTCTAGCCAGCCTTCGGTACATTCGCAGTGAGCGTCGAGAAACGTAATAACTTGTCCCTTCACGTGTTTCGCGCCGAGTAATCTGGCTCTGATCAACCCGGATCTCTTCTCCGTACGGTAGACGTATGTAGGGACTGGTAGCGTTTTTACATAATTTTCCAGATCTTGTTTCAAGTGATCTGTAAATAAAAACAAGTACTCTTATAATCACTTGTCAAACATTATTTAGAAATCGGAAACTGAGATTGCCAAAGTCGACGAGCATAACAACCGCGCCCGACGACTCCGCGCCGCGCCCTGAACCAACCCAGTTCCTGTACAAACCCTCAACTCACCTTGCTCGCTCTTATCGTCCACCAATATAATTTCTTTGAGCAGCGTCCGGGGTGAGCGATTGATCACTGACCAAACGGTCCTCAACAGCGTGCTCCACGCCTCGTTGTGGAACACGATCACGATGCTCGTATCCGGCAGGTACTTGCCGTACTTCTTGCTCTTGCATCCCTCTAGGCGAATGTCTTTCAGGGAACGGTTCAACGAGATCATGTCGCTGGCCATCAGATTGAACTGGTTCAGCTTGAACAGCTCCTGCTGCTTGGCCTCGTCTTCCGGCGAGATGTGCACCGCCGCGCCCATCTCGCCGGGCATACCCTTGTTCTCTCGCACCACTTTGGCCGGCCTCCACAGATTCAGCTCCGACTGTCCATACCGTTTTTTAGTCTGCTGCTGATGCTGCTGCTGCTGATGAAGGTTCGGCGACTGGATCTGTCCGTCGTCCTTCAACGCCTCCTTCTGCGAATGCGGCAGGCCCTCCTCCGTTAAAGCCTGTTGCTGCTGCTGCTGTTGCTTCTCGGTGCAACCCCACCCGGACCCTCCGATGCAGTCCGAATAGAGCATCAGCACCATCACGTCCACCAGGAACCATACCAGCGACGTGAGCAGTATCACTTGGCACGTGTGAATACGAATCTTGGAACGGAACATGGTGTGACGGGGCCGGTCGTCTGCCGCCCTGAGCTCATCACCCGATTCTTCGCGGTTGGAGGCGCCCAAGAGCTGCTTCCTGTCCGACCGGACCGTTCAACGACCGTTCGCTACCGACTCTTCAACGGGAACACTGTGCTCGGGTCGGTTAATTACTTACATGACTGCCTCTCAAGATCTGAACAGAATAAAAAGATTCTACGTTTACTGCGACGAATCATGATAATGATTTGACACGGGATTAGGGAAATGCGAGATCATCAATAGGATATGTGTGTATGTGTAATGAAGGAATCAGAAGCCTCTGAAGTGATCGTCACGATTCTCTGACAAAATAATAAATTATATAATAGGACGTCGAATTAGAATGGAAAATTATATGCTGGATTTAATAACAGAAATAAACAGTTAAAAGATTTACGGAGCGTTACGCTGCAATGCGTAAGGCGTGTAACGGAGGTTTAAGAGCAACGAACAGAGTCGGCAAAAACATTGATCGCGAGTATTTCTTTTTTTTTAATAGAGTTCAGGAAATATCTCGAGTTCACACGAAAGACTTTTATCAGATCGTTGTATTAAAAATGCAAACGGTTTTCCTATCGAGCTTTCCGATTGCATGTATCAATCGTGTATACGGTGAATACATTCTTATCAACGTGGAAAGCTAGTATGACCCGCAGCACAGTTTCTACTCTCGGCGAGCTGCAAGACCTGAACTTCAACCCCTGGAGACTAATTCTCCGAGCAAACTCGGCGCCCCAAATGAGCTTAAAATTCAGTCACTGGACCTACGATCTTCGATTTCCAACGAGGTAACCGAAATTTTAGGGGATAATATAAATTTTACGAGTATCCAGTTGAGAGAACAGAATTTTCAAAATACCTGGGGATTCAAGTTGATAGTTATTTAAAATTGAACCATTACATAAGGTATGTAATTATATCGGTTATATATTCTTGTTAACAGATTCAAAGATGTTAAGCAGTCTATCCCGAGTATTCGAATATACTATCACAAATTCTTTATATTGGTTTAGTAAGGCGCCTTAAAAAATAAAAAGTGGAGAACAATTTATAGTTTCATGTAATCTATTGGATTTTGTATATTGAATCTTCGTATGCTTCGTTCGCCTGTTACTACGTACTATGTTTGACCAAGAACTTATTACGAGTGGTAAATAATTCGTATACGCGGCGCATATTTGTTGACTAAGCCGGTGTCCGTGTTTCGACTGGTATTATAAAGAGTTGCGGTGAACAATCAAGCCGGAAGTCACGCGAGGCCGTTTATTTATCACGTGAATAATACATAGAGACCATTTACCATTATCGATTCGGTTCTCGGTGCCACCTATCGCGAACACAGCCATCCCTATGGGTAACAAGGCTAATTGGTTCCTTATTACTACCCAGGTTTGGGGTTTCTACGAAATTTGTCCGCTCTGAAAAAACATATCACCTAATGCGGCTGGTACAGAGTAGAAAATTAATCGCGATCCGTAATAATAACGCGGAGTAAATTAATAGCGAGATAGATTTGTTATCGTCCTATAAAATATTACACAAGCCCCAGGTGTTACTCATTACATACGCACGCAGACGAACGGAGGATAGAATTTAAAATAACTGCGGAGCGTGCACATTCTTGCGTTTCTACCATCCGTCCTCAACGTGAATATTATACAGGATGAATGGGTGAGAAGGAAAAAAAAGAGCGAGAACCGTCACTCGAAGCGGATGGAACAAAGACAGTTCTGTGGGACATTTTACGCGTTTTGATCGACGGATCGAGAGGTTGTTTGTTGGTTTTTTTTACGGCTGTGGTACAGGAGGATGAACGCGATAAAAGCCGGGTGGAACCTTCCCTGACGCGCGCGCGCGCGTATATATTCCGTCGGAAGAACGATTGTTTTCGCGATAATTCGAAACGGAACGAGACCAGAGTGGATTATTCCCCACTGACGGTGAAACATAAAACAGGAAAATATATCGTTACGGTTTTATTATTAGATCGAATAATGGCGAACGTCATTGGGTCAATCACGAACGTAGCTTACAGAAATGCATACATTGTATATTTCAGAAATTGAATACGTGCATTGTTGCAATAAATGCATTCTTCTTGATAGAGAGTTCTCCAGGTTGCACGTTGATAATTAGACTAATTATATTAATTAATGAACGCTAATGAAAGTAGAAAATGAAAAATGATGAAGACAGACGGACGGCAGCAACATCTCTCATCTAATTAATTCTTACAACCCTCCCAAGCTCTTAGTTATTACATTTTTGCCTACGTATAAATACAATTTTAAATAGAAATATCTCTTGGTGAATCCCTGCCTTTCCGTTTCGTTAAACTGTACACGTCTCTCTAGGCCTCGTCGGCTGGCAGAAACGATTTTCGCTGCTGGCTGCGGGGTAAGATAAAGAGCCTAGGCGAGAGGAACGGAAGGAAGAAACTCGAGCGGAGCTATTATACTGTTTATAAGCTGCTTAAAGGTCGCCTCGAGTGAGATCCGGGAACCGCGAGCGTGAACAGAAAGCGAGAACATCGTGCTCGTTGTCGCGCTTACAATAATGATCGAGTGATCGCGACGGCTCGGAAGTGTTCCGTGGAAATTCACAAGCAACCAGCTGCATACAGTCTACGACAAGAACCTCCACGTATCTCCGATCTGTACAATTTAAAACGTCGAGGGTTTCATAAATAGTCGAGAAGAATTCACGTTCTCCTTTACAAATGATCACTGCGAAATGGTGCCTGAAAAAATGTCAAATCTCATTTCATTTCCAAGCTGGATGCACTTTTTGGAACATACAGTATTTACAAGTTAGAACATGAATTGGATGAAGTTCATTAGGAAATATTTATAAATAGGTATTTCCATAAACGTCAGAGTACTTTGGACAGGTTTGTATAATCCTAAAACAAACGCTAGATCGATAGGTCTTTTATTTTAGGCGGTCACACTGGTAAGGCCCCAATGTGAATAGATGCAAATGTCGAGAGATCTGTATATAGACTTTTGTGATCGAGTGTAGCTATTTGTCTATGGGTATCCGTGCTTGTGAGTGTAATTCACCGAGCAGGATGTTCCTGGGAAAGTGGAGAATAAACGGAACCAACCTGTCTGCCACTGATGTTAATTAATTGCGAATTCTGGTAAGTCATTCACTTCCATCTAGATAGCGAGCGTGTGTCGCGTTTATAGGGGCCGATGATTACGCTTCACTGGAAACGACCCAACGCTTCTTTTAAATTAGAGAAACGAGCTGAAACGTGTTTGATAAAATGTTTAATAACGGCCCCGTCTCTGATCACTCGGAGAGGCGAGTCTCGAGCAACAGTCGACGGAAAGTTCGACGAGAGCTCACCCCGAGAACTCCGTTAAAGGTTGCAGCCAAGTCCGGCAGGCAATAAGCAGCCCAGACGAACTCCGACCCTACGGATGGGAAATGTCAAACAAATCCGGAGTCGAGCGAATTCGCGGGGATACTTTAGCTCTGCGGTAGCCTCGGTAAGATGGATTTTGTTTGATTTGCCGCCACGGTACCCTTGAGAAATACCGAACCCAGGGGAGGGACGGGGAAGAGGAGTTGTAATTTTAATTGACATTGTCGGGCAAGTAGAAGTCGTCGAGTGGAACTTCAAATTACTCCTTTTTACCTCTAGCACTCTTGACGATAAAAGGCTGTAAGATGAAACAGATTACTTTTTCTTAAAAGTAATATCTGCCATGAATTATTAAATATTATTCAGGCAGCTGAAACTCGTCTTCGCTGAATTTCAGGATTCAACTCCTCGATCAATTTAATCGTCGAAAGATATTATAAAATAAGAAATTCTGTTATCGATTAATTCGCAAATAGTTTTTCGCTCCCGGCGGGCGAGGTACACAAGAAACGTTGAGCAACGAGCCACGTTTCTTCCTCCCGTATCTCGTTTGCACAAGTGCACTGCGCGTCGGCTCATTATTATTCCGCTAATTTGCCTTCGTAAATGGCCGGTGTTCCATGCAGCGTCTCTCTTGCGAAACCCGATGCCTTCCACGAGATATTCGACGCTCCTTCGAGGTGGCTGCGATTTCAATTTTATAATTACTGGTGCTCTCGCAACGTCCGATTGCGCAGACACGGGATTTTCAATAGAAGATTCGCAAATGTCCCGAAAGCCTGTCGTTCCCCGGGGAGTCGACAGCCATATTACGAAGCAGGGTGAAATCGACGAAACCGATCAAAGGATAAGCTTATAAAAAATGCATGAGCCTTTGGACTGTTTTCTTTCGAGAGGAAAATGGGATACTTTAACGTAGTTTCCTATGTTCCACGAGCAAAGTAGGTCGTTTAAGATTATTTATCTACAGAGTTCTTTGACCCGTCTATTTTCGTACACGTTCAATAAATTCCCTGAAATATATTAACCTGTAGACCACCGGTATCAGTTACATCCGAACGTGTTTAAAACGTTGCATATGACATGAATAATTATTATACATATGTACAGTGCTCTTCGCTTGAATAGCCTCGGTTAAAAACTGATGTATGCTTATAAGTTTGTGTCAAGTAAAAGAGTATTATTAAAAATTCTTGCTTACTAATTAGATCCATTTGCATAAAAAATTCGTAGGTAACATTAACTCACATTGATGTACATTTGGGAAATATATTGGAAGTATAATATCTGGTATAATAATAATGAGGTATAATTCCAGGCTTCCATATGAATAGCCTTCAAGTGTTTAGTCACAGTCGATGCATTGCGATAGATCAGAGAAGAAATATTTACAAAAATTCTACATTTTATTATTTTACATATCTATGTTATCTTAAGGTATTTTGAAGTAATACGGGCTGTTCGAGGCTGTCCAAGTGAACAGTATGTCTTGTAAAGTACACTAATTCCTACATTAATTCTTGAGCTGATATTTTGGTGGTCTAAAGATCAAAGCAGCCACCTGCAGACAATGGATTAAAACGAGGATTAGACCAAAAAGTCTATCGATCATATCGGTTCGATAATAATAACAGTGACATCAATAATCAATGATATCATAATTATTACCACTATAATTGCGACTATAATCTATTATCAATGAATAGATATCTCTTACTCATAATGTACTTTCAAAGTAATTACGGCAACTTGCGGAGCTTCGTCTATCGTAGAAATTCTTT